CATGGCCACGTGCATCCCTGTGGTTGAGCAGGATTGGTAGATGAGGTGCAGCCCCCGTGGGAAGGAGTTTCTAAGAAGAAAAGGAGGCTCTGAGCTTCACTTGGGTCCAGGTCCCCAGAACGAGTCAGGGTTGGGCTCAGTGAAGGGCCTGGACTGGACCTGGTCCTGGGGATTGTAGATCAGGTACTTAGCAGTGCAGGCAGGTGGTAAGTACCTGTTGGTACATCGCTGCTCTTACAGTACTTTCTGAAGCCCCCTCTTCTCTCCAGGGCTGATATTCTCTAAATATTTATTTAACAAATATAAGAAGAGGCAAAGGGCTGGCTGAGGGGCCACCAGAGAAGCCGGGTCACTGGAGGCAACCTCTCCTTTCTCGTCCCAAACAATTCAGTTCTGGCCCGTGACCTGCACCCCAATTCTTGACCGAACTGGACATGTCTTCCTTAGAAGCCCATTTACTGCCATCACTGACCATGTTCCGGGCGGGGGAATCTTGCTGCTCTCTGACTCTAAACAGCTTATCAGTAGGTGACCTGATCATCTATCAGCCAAGCAGAGGCACTTCTGAGAGGGAAAGCAGGAGTTATCAGCAGCTATGCCAGGACCTCGATGTGAACCGAGACCGTCCCACGAAGACCGGGTCCTACGTCTTGAAGTTCTCTGCCTGAGATAGTGCTGGTACATATAAGCCTCTGCAACTTTCCACATTCCTGGTGGGGTTTTACTATGACTTAGAGATTGGACCCAGGGTGCTGCCTGGCTGACCTGCCTTGTCCCTTAATTGGGCTCTGTCCATATTCCATCATTTGGAATATGTGAGGATGATTCTCTCCATTTGAGAGGTGGGAGCCCAGGGCCCAGAGAGGCTGAGAGACTTGCCTACCCCCAGTGATTAAGTTCCAACTCTGACCTAGAACGGAGGTCCAGCCTTGATTCCCACCTCAGCCCGTCAGGGGCCAAGCACCATCCCTCTGTTCCATGGGATGGACCATCCTCATCAAAACAGCCAAGGGCTGGGATGCTTCTCTCAGCCTTATGCTGATTCTGATCACTTTCTGGGGAAGAGAGAGATGGATGAGAGAGGCAGGGAAGCACCAGGGGCAGAGGAAGCATAAATGAGAGTCTCTGCTGTGCCTGGTTGTTCCTGACGGTTTTATTCAGAGTGAGGGGGACAAGTGGGTTTTCACGCCTCCTCTTTGACAGAGGGCACCCCAGGGAGGGGCACTGCTCTCAATTCCCCCACTGCCTCAGCAACAGTCTTTAACTCATCAGGAGGAAATGAGGTCTGTGCAATTGTGTGAAGTATCATTTTGCCCATTGGCCGAGAGTATTTCCTAAGTGCAAAAGGGCTTTCAAGGGAGGCTAGAAAAAAAATTTCAGTGATGAGTTTTACTTGCTGTGGTTAATGATAATTATTAAATAGGTAGGGTGAGCTAGTGCTTGTTTTCCTTATTGTTAACTGTATTTATGGGTTTTTATTAAGTTGTACCCAGCTGGGATAATTGTAAACTATCTACTTAAGACTCTGGCCTCCCATTCTATTTTCTTTCATTCCAAAGGTGGAGTCTTTTCATTATTCAAGGCTTATACTGTAAACCAGGAGTTGGCAAACTTTTTCTGTAAAGATTCAGAAGGTAAATATTTCAGGCTTTGCAGGCCGTGCGATCTCCATTGGAACCACTCAGTTCTACCACAATAGCATGAAAGTGGCCACAGTCAGTACATAAATGAATGGGTGTGACTGTCTTCCAATTACACTTTATTTATAGAAATTCACGGTGGGCTAGATTTGGCCCAGGGACTGCAGTTTGCGGACCCCTACTGTAAACAGTGGAGAAGTCCCTGAACTGGCAGCTTGGAGGCTGAGGACTGACTCTCAGCCCTGCCCCTGTGTGACTGGAGGAAGTCACCTCATCTTTCTGGTTGTTGGTTTTCCTTGCAGTACAACAAAGGCATCAGACCAGACGGTCTCTAACGCTCTGGGGTTCTTAACTCTGACCCTAGTTTATGATAACCTGGCATCTTCCTTTTCCTCCCTTCAGTAGATGTTCAGACCCACAGGGCCTCTCAGAGCCCATCACCACTTGTCCACCTTCCAGATGGCTGTGGTTTCTAAACTACACCATGACATTTTGTATTTCTCTGACGGTATCTTCTCAGGCAGCCCCATAACCAAGCTACTTCTTGAGTTGCTGAGGATGACTCTGTGATTGGAAAGTTTACCTCTGGACTGTTGGGCAGTTTGGGAAACTGAGGCCCCAAAAGAGAAGTAGCTAAGATTGCGCAGCAAATTGGTGATGCTCTTAGAGAAACCAGGTGCCTCCAAAAAAAGACGTATTGTCCAAGTCATTCCAGCTCTGGAGGCTCAACTCACCGTGAAAGGGCGGTGGTGTCCCTGTGGGAGGTTGATAGTGTAGCAGCCGAGAGCAAGACTGAAATTGCCTGGGCTTCTGTCTTCACAATGCCACTTAAAACCCTAGGCACATCGCTTAAAACTCTGAGTCTCAGTTTCCTAATCTGTGAAATAGGGGGAAATAGAAGGATGGGGTTGTTGGGAGGATGAAATGAGATTATACATGTAAAGTGCTGAGAGCAGTGCCTGGCACACACAGTAAGTGCCCAACAAGTGGAAACCGTGCCACTATTATTTTTATGACCATTGTCATCTTGTCATCCCTCTATAAATATGTTGAGGGTGTCTCGTCCTCATTTTTATACCAGACTCATCTTCACCTTTTGGGTTGGAGATGTGGGCTGAATGCTTTTCTCCTGTTCTGTATGTTAACTGACTCTTGATGAGGTGGAAAGACTGGGGGAAGAAGATGAGGAAAGGCATGGGAGGGGAGGAAGGAAGGAAGGAAGGAAGGAAGGAAGGAAGGGAGGGAGGTAGGAAGGAAGGAAGGGAGGGAGGGAGGGAGGGAGGAAGGTAGGAAGGAAAGATGGAAGGAAGGAAGGGGACTTGGGAAAATAGGTCCATGAGGAAAGGAGAATCAGGTTCTAAATCCACTCATGTTTCCTAATAGTTGTTGGGATGGGAAGAAAAATACACCTCCTTTAAGCAGTGTGGAGGTTTTGTATCCTTTGTCATTATCCTGGGATGTAGAGGTTATGAGGGCAGATTTAGGTATTTCTAGAGTGCACTCACCTTTCAGTTTTGGTCTTGAGTTTTCAAGACAGTTCTACCTTTTCCACCAGAGAATTTAAATTTGGAGACATGACCAGCCTCTCGGTTAGCCTGGCTTTGTTCTGTCTTTATTAAAAGGTTTACAAGTATGTGCCTCTAAAAGCAGCAGGCCTGGGACAGTTTTCCCAGGGGGCTGTCAAGAGAAATTGGGGTGACTCTCAACCTTGTGGCAGGTTAAATGAGACTCAGTGCTTCTTTGTTTGGCTTGATGTCCCTTCGAAGGACGGCCCAGAGATCATTTGGTCTGCAGGGTGTTTGCTTCGGCAGGCTGATTTTAACCAACTCTGACAGGAGGGCAGAGGTCTCCAAGCGAGGTCAGGACCACAAATCCCATCCCAGCAGGTGCATGATGGGGAGACAGCGCCCTCCAGATGACCTTCAAGTTCCCATTGATTTCCCATCAAGCAGTGCTTCCCCACCCGCACGCTGCTCCTGCCTCTGCCACTACCGGTGGGCTTGGGGCTCTGGAAGAGGACATGTGGATCAGCTCTCTGAGAACGTACACACAGAGGAGGTTAATTCAGAGAGAGGCCCTTTCAGGGAATTGGAGTAAGTTACTCTGGGGACCACTTCTGGCCACCACTAGTTTATGGTGCCAGTATCAGTCCTGGAAAGTCCTTTTTGGGCATAGAAAGGAGTGGCTGATACCATGAATGGCAGCATTTATCCACTTGGTCCCACTTCTCTCCAGGCTTTGGGTTGTATAGGTGGCGTTGTGGGGTCATGAGCAGGATTTGGGTATGGACAGTAGACTTGGTCCCTCACCCACTGTCACGGGTGTGTGAGAGGATCGGAAGTGAGAAGGTGGCGGTGTGATTTTCATTGCCTGTGCTGGGGGCACAGTCCTCTCCTGAGCACTGACCTTCTTGACCTCTGGAAGGCTGGGCTTCCATACCCTCCAAACTCTCTGCTGCAGGTTGGCCTGGATCTTTCATTTATTTGTTCAGCGTTATCTGACTAGCATTTCCTATGTGCCAAATCCTGTGTTAGGTGTAGGGGATGCAGCTATCAGGGAGATAAAGGTCCTTCTCGCCCAGAGTTCACAATTTTGTTACGCAGAGGTGATCAGCAGGCCAAGAGAAAGCAGAGACTTTTTTATATTTTTATTTTTTTTTAAATGTATTTATTTTGGCTGCATTGGGTCTTCCCTGCTGCGTGCATGCCCTCTCTAGTTGCGGCGAGCTGGGGCCACCCCTCGCCGCGGCGCATGGGCCTCTCATCATGGTGGCCTCTCTTGTGTGGAGCACAGGCTCCAGGCACGCGGGCTTCAGTAGTTGTGGCTCGCGGGCTCCAGAGCGCAGGCTCAGCAGTTGTGGAGCACGGGCTTCATTGCTCTGCGGCATGTGGGATCCTCCCGGACCAGGGCTCGAACCCGCATCCGCCGCATCGGCAGGAGGATTCCCAACCACTGAGCCACCAGGGAAGCCCCAGAGACGTTTTTAGAGCGGTAAATAGTATGGAAAAAACAAAATAGGATATGAGATAGTAAAGGCTAGAGCAGGAGTGGAATAGGTTGGGCTACCCTAGATTCAGTGAGTGGAAAAAAGACTTCTTTGAATAGAAGCCAGCCATGAGAAGATCTGGGAGAAATGTATACCAGGAACAGGGAATAGCATGTGTAAAATCCTGAGATGAGATGATTTTAGTTTATTAGAGAGACAGAAAGAAGTGCAGTGAGGATGGAGTCCAGTAGGGAAGGGGGGTAGGAGACAAGATGAAGTAGGAAAAGTGGGCACAGCCAGATAGTCTGGGGGCCTGTAGCCACGGGAAGGAGTTCAAATTATATTCTAAGTGCAGTGAAAGCCATTGGAGGGATTTAAGGAGGAGAATGTCGTGATCTGATTTCCATTTTAAAAAGATCCCTTGGACTGCTGCATCGAGAATCGACTACAGAGGATGTGTTCTTTGTGGCTGTGTTTTAAATGCCAGACCAATATTCCCTTTACTGGGGAGGGCAGCACTGAGGCTCTCATTTTCCAGAAGCAAAGATGGGGTCTAAGGATGTGTTTGTCCGAGAATTGTCTCTAATCCATGGGCTGCTTCTCCTGGCCATCACTCTCGAGGGACAGCGTACTGGTGTCCAGCACATAGCTGGGATTTCAGAAAGGACTTAGTCTATGAACCAGGGAAACTAAAAATACTTAATCAATGAAGTTTCTGTGGTGGGTGTGTATTTTCTTTCTAGGTATGCTTCATCCTAGATAAAGCAACCCCCCCCACCACCACTTTTGAAAGTTGGTTGCATTCTACACATTCTTTAGCCTCTGGAGGAGAGATTTATTTTGTCAAGTCTGGATGCCATTTGAAAGGCAAACCTTGGATACAAGAAAAGCTACAGTCTTCCTCCCCTCCCAGAGCATCCCCCTTTTCTCACTCCCCTTCCCCCATTCTCCCATTATTTACTGGAAGGAATCACACTGCTTTTCTCCTACCTCTAGTCTCCTGTCCTTGGCTGCCCCTTGACTTCAACCCCAAGTTGCGTATGTCATCAGAACGCCCAGTGGCAGCTCAGAAATCATGGCCAGGTTCTCAATATAAATTCCATCTTGCTTAGGCAGCTTTGCATAATAAGTCCCTGAAAAATCTTCACCAGAGCAGATGCCGGAAAAGGGATTTATTGGGTCTAGCGGGCCTGAACGTCAGACTGAGCGGCATTTCAAGTCACGATGGGAGTTTTAGGGTTCAAATTCTTCGTTTGACTTGACTTTTGCAAGGCGATACCCCCGTTCCCCAGGTGCCTTTCCTGTGATGTTAGGAAGGTCAGAGTCGCCTCCAGAGTGACCGCCCTAAGGAAGTCAGGATCTCCGTACGGTTGTCTTGACCAGGCCTTGTGGATGTTTTGTGAGAGATGCGGACTTCTGTGGGACTCGTCTGCTGCAGGTGAGTGCTGCCAGGTTAATCCATGTCTGCTGCCTGAAAAACATTTCCCACAGGAACGAAACAAGCTGAGTTAAAGTCAGTTAACCAGGCTTTCCCGCTCTGCTCTTACAACATGGCTGAAGAGCATCACAGGGTTCTCTTGTTCTTGCCCTTGCTTTGGAGTTTGGGGGAACTGTCGTTCAATTAGTGAGTCTCATATTTCTCAGAATCACTGGGGGAATCTGTCAAAAATCCAGATGTCTGGATCACAGGCACACCTCCAGCATCAGAATTGCACAATGCCACCCCACCCTCCTGCCCGCATTGATGCTGATACAAACCAAAGTTTGAGAACCTCTGCCCTAGATCCCTCTTCTGGAAGGTGGGGTGACGGCATTCTTGATAAGCACAGAAGGGGTGTTTCCTACATCAGCAGAAGAGGAGCAGGTCTTCCTGGGGTGATCTGATGACAGCACAGCACAATATTCAGTGAGCTTCTTATAGAGTTCACAGAAGAGGAATGTTAGTTCTGCATCTTGGCGTGAGTACTGTAGATGGAGAAATACAATCTCAAGAGCTGAAGTGACCCTTTTTAAGATGATGAAGAGAATTCAGTAGAATTTGAACTTATAGGATATCTGTTTTCAGATGCCTAACCCTGTGCTCTGGAGAAGCCACGTAACTTCAGGCTCACTTCATTATCATCTGGAGAAAGAAGGTCCTCAGCATCCCTCAACTGTGAAGCTTCCATGAGTTTGCTAAGGATGGCGTGACATTTCAAACAAGCAATCTGTATTTATCACATGCTTCTCCATTCTCAGCACTGTGCTTGGTGGGGTAGCACAGAAGTATATAACTCTTAGTCCCTGTCTTCAAGATGTTTATAATCCAGTTGGGTGGGGAGAGAGAAGGACGGTGGTAGACACTGGCCAAACATGAGTGAGACAATTAGGGAGCTCAGAGAGGCAGAGAGCAAGAACCATTGGCAGGAATAACTGGGGAAGCTTCCTGGAAGAGGTGGGACTTCAGTCAGCCCTTGAACAGGGTAAGGTCAACCAGGCCAAGGACAGGAGGCAAGAAGAATTCCAGACTCGGGGTGGGGGGTGGGTCTGAGTAAAGTATTTTGCTGGGGTCCAGGGAAGGCCTGTCTGCTTCATATACGCAGGAAGGTCAGATAAGGATTCATTCATTCATTCACTCAGTCCTTCATCATCAACCCAACACAGCAAGCTCTGCTGGGCTTGGGGATAGAGCAGCAAACAAGCCAGATGTAGTTTCTGCACCTGGGGAGAGCTAGGAGAAGAGCTGTAGCGATTGCAGTCAGGAGACTGCTGCAGTAACAGGGGCCGGGCGCTGAGGACTAAGTGGAAGTGCCTGCAAACATTCTTTTAATATTTTTTTTAAAGTTGCAAGTAGACAGTCATGTAATCTAAATCACCAACCTATATGTGCAAAAAACTCAGAAGACCATGCATGCACCATATGCTTTACTGCTCTGATTGAAACTCCTACCATAAGTGAGTGGTATATGAGTTGTTGAAAGCAATTCAACAAAGAATTGTTGGACACTTACTGTGTGCTGGGCTCTCTGCTAGATGCTGGAGGTGAACCACTAAAAAAGCCAGGTATGCAGGGCTGCTGGGTTACACTGCTCCAGTACGATTCACACTGGAGTTTATATGAAAGGTGCGCCTGGTGTGGTTTAGTGTAAAATCTGAATGGCTGTGTGCAGTGGCCCTGCAGATGTGGTCCCTGCCCTCATGGACTTTGTAGTCTAGTAGGGAAGACAAATATTAAACATTGAGTTGAGTTAAAATTGCCATTGTTAATAGTATTATTATTGTTGTTTTTGTTGGAAGAGGACAGAATGAGGAGGAAGGGGATTGAATCTCTCTCTTAAAATCCTCTATATCCCTTTCTATTTTATATAAGAAACCCTGTCTTAGCTGGGGCTGCTATAACAAAATAACCATAGACTGGGTGGCTTAAACAACGGACATTTATTTCTCACAATTCTGGTGGCTGGGGTGTCTGAGATCAGTGTGGCAGCATGGTCTAGGTGAGGTCTGGTAAGGGCCCTCTTCTTGGGTCACAGGTAATTGCCTTCTTGCTATGTCCTCACATGGCAGAGAGAGAGAGAGAGAGAGAAAGAGAGAGACAGAGACAGAGAGGGAGGGAGAGGGAGAGAGAAAGCGATAATCCCATCTTGGGTGCTCTACTCTCATGACCTAATTACCTCCCAAAGGTCCCGTCTCCAAATACCATCCATTGTGGGGTCAGGGCTTCAACACGTGAATTTCATGGGTGTGGGGGGGATGCAATTCAGTCCATAGCAAACACTAAACTTGGTTTTCTTTCAAGGGCAGCTTGAGGAACAGTGTAACGGTGAGGAAAATGAAAAGGTTCCCCCACCTTGGCAAATATTGCCCCCTGCTTGCTAATTATTACAAAACACGACACAAATGGGAGATGGCTTTCCGTGCCACAGTTAGAGTTAAACGTGTTTAAATGCAAACAGGAGGAAGTTAGCAAATTGGTGTAGATGAGTTTTAATGTGTGTGTGTGGGCCGTTGTGGAAGTTGGGCAGCTGAGTGAGACAGCAGGAAAGCCAGGTGCCCACAGAGAAGAGGGGCCGATGGGGGAAGGCAGGGCCAGCAATCTGCCACAGGCCTGAGCTCCTTTTTATCTCTGCTTATCTCTGTTTATGAGCACAAATAGCTGTGATGGGCCAAGGTCCTGTTTTTACAGCTGGAAGGGACCTGTGGCCACGGGGTGGGAAAGGAGAGAATGGGAGAGCTCCCCGAGACATGAAAGAATTCGGTGCCAGCTGGGCTGAAGGATAGGGGAGGGTCAAGGACACGGTGCTGGGGAGAGACAGAGCAGGGTTCCCTCAGGTCCCCGCTCCCACCCCTGTGGAGACTGGGGAGGGAGCAGTCTTTGGCAGGGCATGAAGAATTCACTCTTGGACACATGTTTGAGGCAGGGCAGGACACTTGTCCTTGGGTCAGAACATGGGACCACAGGGACAATGAAGAGGGAGGGGCCCTAGGTGTCTGGGTTGGGGGTCGGAGTTGGGAGTCTGTTCGGCACAGTGGACATGGAATCTAAGAGAACAGGCAAGGTCTCGAGAGAGGGAGGTGGAAATGTGAGGAAGGGGAGCAGGGCGTCTTGGAGAGGGCATGACAGGCTCTGAAAATCACATGTGGAGCCTAGTTGGCAGTCCTTTTGGAGAAGTCTTATTTTTTTCCACTCTGAATCCTCTTTGGTGCCTAGAATCCATTTCTCCACAGATATGCTCAAGGAGGGCCACCGGAAAGCTCTCAGAGCTAGGATGGCTCTCTCACTCCAGAAGGGATCGCTAAGGATCCCACAAAACCCCTCACCAAAGCTCCGGAGCGGGGCAGCCAGCACTGCTCCAAGCAGCAGGCCGTGAGGGGCTCCTGCTCTGGCAGAGAGCCCAGCACTTTGTTCCCCCTGCCTTTCCTGCTTCTGATTTCAGCCTTGAGTAGCCTGAAGTCAGTTGTTGATGAGACCATCATTCTACTCTGCCTCGTGCCAGCTTCTTTGAGCCCAAGACATCTATCACCCTGTGGAAAATCTAGCCCCCTTGGTTTGATGCAGACAGGTGATGGCTGAGGCTGGGCCGTGCCTGTCCCAGCCTGGGGCACACTGGTCACCACTGCACGAAATGATTCATTTGCTGCCAGCCTTTCCCAGCTTCCTCTGCCCCTTCCTCTGCCCCTTGCAACTTTCTTTTTTTTTTTTTTTTTTAATATTTATTTATTTTTTATTTTGGCTGTGCTGGGTCTCAGCTGCGGCATGTGGACTCTTAGTTGTGGCATGCATGCGGGAGCTAGTTCCCTGATTCGGGCCCCCTGCACTGGGAGCGAGGAGTCTTAACCTCTGGACCGCTAGGGAAGTCCCTTTCCCTTGCCACTTTAATGCAAATGTCACCCCTGGGATCCTATCAATGTGGGATTTTTTTTGTTTGTTTGCGGTACGCAGGCCTCGGGCCTCTCACTGTTGTGGCCTCTCCCGTTGCGGAGCACAGGCTCCGGACGCGCAGGCTCAGCGGCCATGGCTCACGGGCCTAGCCGCTCCACGGCATGTGGGATCTTCCCAGACTGGGGCACAAACCCGTGTCCCCTGCATCGGCAGGCGGACTCTCAACCACTGCGCCACCAGGGAAGCCTCAATGTGGGATTTTTTAAAAAGAAATACCACATGGGGAGAGGAATGATAAATTAGGGGTTTGGGATTAACATATACATACTACTATATATAAAATAGGTAAACAATAAGGACCTACTGTAGAGCACGGGGAACTATACTCAATATCTTATAATAACCTATAATGGAAAAGAATCTGAAAAAGAATATATATATATATATGTATAACTGAATCACTTTGCTGTACGCTTGAAATTAACACAACATTGTAAATCAAGTATACTTCAATTAAAAAAAAAAGAAATACCACATTGAAAAGGACATTTGTCCCCTCTCCTGTCTAAATTGCTTTCCATGGGTTAGGGAGACCTGGCCATTGATTTTCTTCTAGAGAACAGAGCAAGCCCTGTGAAGCTTTTGGCTAATTAACTTTTGGAGAAGTGCAGCTTGAATTTATCAGAGGATGAAGTCTCTTTTCTCCTCACATATCTTAAAAAAGGCTTTAAACTTTTGTTTCCAAATCGCTGCCAGTGCCTGGCCTGTTTAAAAGTGACTTCCCTGGGGACGATGGCAGAGGGTGATGGCTGTCACACTTTTGTAGCTTCAGTCTTTAATACGGTTGTTCCAGTCCTCAGAAAATCTCCCCTGTTTACATAAGGGAGGTATCATTCACACAAAGATTACATTTAAAAATACACATTTCCCCGCAGCATGCCTGTTACTAATAACATTGCATGTTATGAAAGTGGAAAGTATTTAAGATGAAATTAATTTTCACCCAGTGAGCCACTTTGTTTGACTTTTTCGTTCCATTCAGTATGGGGCATGGACTTGGCCAAACGCACTTCTCATTTTCAGCAAGTTCACTTTCTTGTTTCTCTTTTTGGGATTGAAGCTGTTGGAAGCGAGTTCCAGGCATATCGAGAAAAGTCTGATTTGAGATCCT